GGTAATCTACATTAATTATTCAATTTAGTATTTTACATTATATATGCAATTTAATGTATTTAATACATTCTTTATGTTTTAAATTGTAGCAAAATACCTTACCTGGGTCTTCATCAATAGATGTTGGGTCTTCATCAGGAGTTGTTACCGAGTCTTCATTAAGACCTGCTGCATCAAGAACTTTAAGAGAACTTGCTGATGTGTAAAGAAGACCTGTTGCTGTTACTGATTCGAGACTAGGTCGTGTTGCTAAATCTGTCCTTGCTCATGGTGGTGCTAGATTTATCCCTGCTCATGGTGAAGTAAGGAGGCCTCCATTTTATGAACTTGCTGCCTTTGCTGCCTCTGCCTTGATAATGAATTCTGATGGTGCTGGAGGGACACAAGCAAGTGTCTCTTATGTTGTTGATATGTGAATGTTAATATGCATAGTGTTTTAAGGTTTTTTATGGTGTCTTTTTGCACAATGTTCTAAGGTTTTTTGTGGTGTTTGGATGGATGGTGGAGGATCAATTAAGAATGGATGTTTTGTAGCTTTTTGTCTTTTTTTGGTCTACCATTGTTTGGAAATTAAGAATAGGTTTAGGAAAAATAGTCTTGATGTGCACAAGGGACTTGATGCAATTATTGTATAGCACATATTAAAATCAATACAAAGATCAGTTTACTTATTTGCAAAACATCCTTTGTAATAACCCTTATAACACTTATTATGTTCAAGCCTATTATGATTAATTCAAGATAATTAGCAAGATAAAAAACTCAAAATATTGAAATACTTGGCTATTTATCCAGTCAATATTTAAATAAATTTGCATTTAATATTTAAAAAATTTACAACAACTTTTGCATTTAATATTTCAATAACTTTCAACAACTTTTATCCAATAAAATGACATTTAAAAGCCTTAAACTGTTGTTATTTTTTTGGCCCATCTCATCTATTTGGGGCATTTTATCAAACACCATTCGAGAAGCCCTTCAACTTTCATTTTTTCTTCCCTTCAACCTTTATGGTATTTTCCTCTCTTCCTAAGTTTCACTGCTACTTTGAATTATTTTGAATCAATTCAAGAACCACAGATGGATGTTATGGAAGCGTTAGAGATCATTTTAAGCTACCATACCCATTAACTCTTCCATAACATCCATTAGTGGTTTTTGAAATGAAAGTTCTCTAGCAAGACTGTAGACAACAAAAGCTTGAAAGGCAGAATCCATCTTTAGTTCTTGCTTTTTTTCCTCCATTAATTTTGTCATTTCTTCATTTGTGAAGTGGCAAAAATCAGTAAAAAATCTTGCTCATTTTACTAACAAATCTGGATTTTTAGTTTATTCTTCTATGGATCTTCAAATAATCTTTTTCCTTAATTAGCTTCTTCATTTCTTCTTTTATGGAATACCGCAAATCAGCAAGAAATCTATAGCATTTTAATAAAAGAATTGGTTTTTAGCTTAGAGTTTGAGGAAATTCTTAGTTTTAGCAAAAACATTAAAAGAAGGGTAAAATCGTTATAAATTTCATTAAATAAACGGAGGTTGACAGTAGGACTGACATAAGGATTTCCTTGTCTAGCAGAATAAAACTTTTTGAGACGAGCTATTCATTTCTAATACTAATGGACTTATGGGCAATTATGCTTAAAAATTAAGGGTAGGTATTTTACCCATTCTTTTAAGAAAAAAGGATGCGAATTCATATTTTTAAACAAAAAAATAATACATTAATTAATAAATTAAATGCTCGAGTACTGATATTTAATACTAAGTTACCACTTATCACATATTATTGTTTCAAATCAAGGATTCAATTTTATTTGCACTGTCATTTTTAACAAACTTCTATCCTAAGTTCTGTATAACAATAAAAATCAATTTTTAATATAAAAAATTAATGCCTTTTGATCAAATAAAAAAAACAAAAGAGGAGAGAAAACCAATTTGACATGTTTGAAAGAAAACAAAATGAGGGGAATATTTTAAAATTTCCCAACATAATTAAAAAATAAAATTTATAGTTTAAGATGAAAGGGACTTAGGGACGTATATGTAACAATAATAAAGGGGAAAAAAAAAGGCAAATATGTACAAACACATGCACACAAAAAAGACCATATTCGATTCCAAAGCCCTTTAGATGATGACAATATAGAAAGTTTTGGGTTTCCCGAAATGAACAAGAATAATGCCGTCTGACGAAAACCAACGAAAGAGGGAGGGCTTTTGCAAAATAAAACTCAAAATCCCGTTTCTGAAATTATATACTTAAATAGTCTCTGATAGAATTACTTGAATAAAGAATATTTTTCTATAAAATTTCATTCAAATTTGTTCAACAATGATTATTTTTAACAGAATATTTTGTTAAAAATTTTGTCGAAAAATATTATCCAAATAAAAATTCAATATAAAACTTGATTATTCGCAAGTAATATAAAGATAACATATAAAAGAATTTATCAATATTTAATTTTTAAGAGTAATCAAATAGAGAGAGCGTCAAACCTTGAAATGTTCATTGGTGTTTTTGCTCTCCAAATCTAACATAAGCACGCATGATCACTTAAACTTGAAAATTTCATGATTACCAGGTAGGACTAGTGCTTAACATCATGATTTTACTACTCCCAAAATTGTGCAAATAATAAATTAACAAGTTCTCAATGTAAATACGCATATGGGGTCCTGTAGTATATGCAATTATAACACTATTTATAGCACAGTACAAGTACGCTGGCATTGTATTATAAATGCAACAAAAAGAAAACGAAAAAAGAAAAAGGAAAGCTTTGGCATGATTATAATTCAATATCTCTTTCATCTAAACATCAACACATGGAGGCTGCAATTATCAGTCACTTCTTTCCATTAAAAATTATTAATTTCCTCATATCTTTGTCTTATGCTTGTCTTCATGATCCCTAGCACCTTTTAATCATCACTTACCCCACATCTTACACCCATAAATTCATGCTACCCCAACATCAGATTAATATAACATTCCAAAACAAAAAGCAAAAACAAAATCAACTATCTTGGCTCATAAATTAGAGCATAACAATATAGCCAACAAATTAATATTGGTTTAGTGTATAAGTCAAATGGTTACCACTACTACTCGCACAAGATTTTATATTGGTTAAGGCGTAGTTTGGCATTTGTGATGCAAATATTGCTATTAAAAAGTGAATTCATTATTTATTTGTTTTGTATCTAAAAGAAAGGCACTTTATTGCTTCTTGATGTGATCTGCTGTTGTGCCAAAACCCACTGGCAGGCTCACTTTGGCATCATCAACGAACCAAGCTCCACTTTGAAGCTAACAAAATTTTAATTCTATTTTCTTTTACTTCCAAAATTTGTAATATAATTCAAAAAGAAAAAAAAAATCCCCAAAAATATCAAAATTGAAAATCACAAAAAAAAAAGCCAAAAATTTACTTAACAAAAAAGCTACATTTTTTTTGCACAGATTTAATTTTAATTAAAGATTATCAAAATAAAAATTATATAATTTACTCTGGAATAGTAACCAGCATGGGTCGCCAAGCTCTCCTTAATAGCCTGTATCGAAATGACGCCGTTACCGGTCTCAAAGAACCAGAGCTTCGACTTGAAAACCCATCAGCGGAACTCCCGGTAACCGGTAGCAAATCTTCCGTTTCTTCTTCACAGCTTTTGTTGTTACTCTCTCTTTCTTCAAACGGCGGCGACGCTACGAAGAGTTCCTTTAATTTTCTTCTGCTCTTCTTCCCGTTGGAGTTTTTCTTGCTATCGACAGTGGAGGTGGTTGACGGTGGAGGCGGTGGAGGTGGAGGTGGAGGATCGAAGTTGTTGTCGTCGTGGCGACGGTGAAAACGGCGGCGTTCGGTGGCAGAAGAGCGGTTCAGGAGCATGCGGAGGGTTTTGCGACGGCGGAGGTGAACGACAGGACTGGTGGTGGGACTACGACCTGGGCTTCCGGCAACGGCGCACTGCGTCGCCAAAAGCTTGAATTTGTGAAGAGTCGCCATTTTTGTGAAGTGGGGTTTCTCTCTCTAGTAAGCTTGGGTGATTTAGAGGGAGACAGAGAGAGGAGAGATGAGAGATCTAAAGAGAAAGTAAGAAACAGTTAGCGTTTGATTCTCGGTGTTATTAATTAAATTAAAAAAAAATAAAAAATTAAGGGATTTGTTTTTTTAATTTGTTTAGTTCTGAAAAAAAAAAGAAAAGAAAAGAGAAAGAGAATAGGAAAAAGGGGTTAAAGGGGTGCTTTTTGTTTGGATGGTGGGATGGAGATTATCTTAATGTTAGGGTCATCTTGGTAAATTTGCATCATTGTGGGACACGTGGAAGGGAATGGGGGGTTTAGGAATTTTTAGGCTCGGAGTCGGAGAGTTGGACTAATTGGACAAAGTACCTCAAAAGGGCGGGGCTTGGAAGAAGAGGATGGATTTTTGTGTGAAGAATTCCAAGTAGAAAATTACAAATGGAAATGTTATTTTCATAGGGTGTTAACTACTCCCATTTAGTTTACTTATTATATTCAAATGCTTCTAGATTCTTTATGATTGAATTCAACATAATTAAAAGTGCTTCTAGATTTTAAAGTTGGAAATGTTTTTATTTAAGAATTATATCAAAACAAAAAAATAAAATTTTGAGGCGATATTTTACAAATTGTTGATAGATTATTTTATACTTATTTGATGCGATTAAAATTATAAAATATTAATTAAAATTAGAAAATTTTGAATTATTTTGGTTTAGAATTTGTGAGAAAATGACAAATTCCATTACGGTTTTTGTAAATTATTATTGCATATCAAAATTTGAATAAGGTACAATTGAAGAATATTTGGGAATTTTTTCTTTGAGACTAAAAAGGATGGCTCAAATTAAGGTTGGAAAGAATCAAGCTCAAAATTGAAGGTTAGTATACAAGTCTATGAAGATAATTTCGTTTTGCGGGATGATAAGAATCAAATGAGGAAAGTGAAGCTCAAAATTGAAGATGATATACTAGTTAATCATTATTTACAAGTAAGGTTCAGCCAGAGTTTCTTTTTGCTACTAATCAAGAACCAAGAATTTGAAGTATACCAATCTACTTGAGCAAGTACGAGTAGTACATATGGACAAGGTATAACACCATTTCTAGTTTTGCCGATAGGGTTTGAGCAAGAAGTATTTTAGAAGCAAATCCTCTGAAAATCCATCATGAGCTAAAAGACTTGGATTACATCGATCTTACCTGCATCTGCAAAATAAAGCGTGTGAATTAGGTTCAATATGTTCCGTCATATTCTAGCTGTTATGGTGTTCAGCCATTTGTCAGCAACTTTCCTAATGCAGAACTCAAATTGAAACGGCATTGATATCATTAATTACCACTATAGTATGTGACATGAATCCCAAACATATACATTGCAAGATCTTGCTGGAGCTCGATCGATGCATCATATTATAATCATACAATGCTTTTAACCCTCTACTATAGGCTTTTTGGTGAAAAAGATAAGGAAATGTCGTCTGCTTTGAAACTAAAAGGAGTTAGGTGGAGTAATAGTAGAGCTGCTAACCCATTTATCATTGACCGAATCTGGAGAAAGTGGAGGAGGAATGTGCTTCAATAGTCCAACATCATCTGATCTAATATCCACCACCTCTGCTTCTGACCTAATATCCACTACCTCTGCCTTTTGCACTCCCAACTCTTCATCCCGAATTCCTCTCAATGTCTCCAACACTTCTTCCATGGAAGGCCTCACATCCCTATCCTGCTGTAAACACCGAAAAGCCAATTCTGCAACTGCTGTCATCCTTGTTTTCACAGCATAATCGTCCTCAAACCCAAGAGATGGGTCAACCAACTCATGCAATGCGTGATTCTGGATTCTGCTGACAGCCATGTTAGCCAAATTAATATCCAGTCGGTGCCTATTGGTGTCCACTGCTTGCTTTGATGAAATAAGCTCAATCAAGACCACTCCGAAGCTATAAACATCACTCTTTTCAGTGAGCTGGTAGCATTGGTAATACTCAGGATCAACATAGCCAGGAGTGCCTTGCGGAGCAGTCGAGACATGGGTGACATCGTTGGGGAACAATCTTGAGAGGCCAAAATCAGCAACTTTTACGTGGAAATTCTTGTCCAGGAGAATGTTGTTAGTTTTAACATCACGATGTATAATAGCTGTTGCATGGAGGTACGCCAGCGCATTTGCTGTCTCTACTGCAATACTCAACCTGACAGGCCAAGTAAGCAAACCAGAGTTTGACAGCTTTCCATGGAGATGATCAGCCACAGTTCCATTAGGAATGTATTCATAAACAAGAAGAAGTTCTCTACTACGTCTTGAGGTGCATCCGTAGAGTGTGACAAGGTTTGGATGGCGTATGCGAGTGAGGATCTCGATTTCATTCATGAACTGCTCAGCACGCTTGAAATTGCTGTCGTATAGGCGCTTCACTGCAACTACACGCCCATCATTGAGTACACCTGATCAAGCAAATTGAAGGACACAGTTATAGGAGCAGAAACAAAATACCTCCGGCTGAGATCTACAGAGAATCTATATATATATAAACAAAATTTAATTACCATAATAAACGGTGCCAAACCCTCCCTCTCCAAGTTCTTTTGAAGGATTGAAATTGTCAGTAGCTTCCTCAAGTTCTTCGTAGCTGAAGACATGCGCTCCAAAGTAGGTGCTTCCTTTTTCAAGGTCATAGTTTGAGGTGGGATAAGAAGGAATGCTTTGAGACAGATTAGTTGTAGAAGTAGGTGGGCCTTTGCTTGAGGGAGGTGTTGGAAGGTCTCTGCTCTTAGCCTGGGCTGCAAGTTTCTTTCTCCGTTGTCTAAGGCACAAAAATCCCATGCCTAGAAGTATACCAGCTATAACCGCACCAGCTATTCCAAGGCCTAAAGATGAAGCAAGAGATTGCTCAACTTCTTTTTCACAATTCAAATATTTCAGGAAACAATGCAATATGTTAATGATATTGCCAAATAATACCTGTTATAAGGCTGACATCAGTTTTCTTTTCAACTGCAACAGTCAAAATCCCGATATGTTAGTTGAAATATGAATGATTAAATGAAAAAAAAAATTCTGTTTGAATTTGTTAATCAAAACTTGGCCTAAAAAATTGTTAAAGATTTATATGAAAATAAATGCAGAGCTCATAATTTAGCTAATGCACATATGTTTCATATTGTACAGGTTTCTGAATTCCCAAAATATGTTGCAATGATGAAGCACTGCTCAACTTGGCAAATTTTACATTTTTCAGGCATGATGTACACAATGGGAAAAGAATAGATAGGTCAGGTTCATAATTTGAACGCAATAGCCTGTAGCCTACGAGTTTTATACTAGAACAAGAGCGTTGACTACCAAATCAATTCATATCATGTGCCTAGTTCCAGACGACTGAAACTTGTGGACATATTTCAGGACAATCTAATTCGCAATCCTAAGCGTTCAAGATGTATTGCAATTTCTAGCAGAGTGGCCATAAAGAGTAGAGATTCTAACCAACAGACACGTGCTATCCTAAACAATTGGTGATGATCAGGACCAACTAATTGCAATGTTGGAAGCCTGGAACCTTGACTTCATACTTTAGTAATTTTAGTTCTGACGTTATTAAGGAAGACTGATCATTACCAACAGCTACATGCGCAAGAAAATTTGAGCCTCCGACAAATTAAATGAGTCAAAAACTAACAAAAAATAAAATTCAATAGTTTTCAAATTCTTCCAACTGAATGAAATGTAGGCCAAAGTTCTTCCATATTTGCAAAACAAAAAACAAAAAGACCAGCAACACTCGAAAAGAATGAAGCACAATTTGAACAGAAAAATTACATATCTAACTAAAAAATCCTATGACTAATCATTTACTAATTAAGAATCCCAAAGAAATATGAGAAGGTTTTTGTTACTAGCACTTTCCAACACCTTGGAGTTGGTATTTAACTAAATGTTAGCATGCTTTTAAAAATAAGCCAAAACCTTAAATACCTCAAAAATACCTGTCGTGTCACAAATCCTATCACCACAAATGCAAATAGCTCGACTCGAAAACCACCCACAGTCTCCACCAGAATCAAGGCATTTAGCACACTCATCATCATACGGAATACTATAATTCACGCTAAACCCTTCCATCAAGACCTCCCCAAGCAATGACCTATTCCTTACGAGCTCATTCGCTGCACTTCTAAGCATTGGCACCGTAACACTAACATTGCATTGTATAACTTTAAACGCTGGATCAACCGGAACCGGACCAACAACGTAGTAAGCTCCACTATTATTACATGTGAACAAGTTCGGAGGTTTGTACGAGGAAGTGTTAAGGGAGGAACAACCATAAAAGAACGTTAAATTTTGGTTGTTTGAAGTTGGAGTGAAAATGGTGGAATCGAGAGTGGTGTTAGTAAAATTTTGCATGCACGGGATTGGGTTGTTGTAAAGGTCTGACCGAGAGAGTGTCATGGTTTGAGTTCGGGGGTCGAGTTGGATGACTCGGTATCTCACTGAGTCCGTCAGTAACTCGAGGGTGGTGGTGTTGGAGCAGGTCAGCTGGAAGCCCGGTGGGCCACAGTACGCTGGACGTGGGCCTCCGGTGAACGGGTAAGTAAGGTTTGTTATTGGGCCACATGAGATGGTTTGGTTGCAGTTTTGGAAGGTGGTGTTGTTGGGTGGAGGAGAGGGTGTCGTTTGGTGGAGGAAGAGGAGGAGGAAGAAGAAGTGAGTGGAAGGGAATGGGTGCATTGGGGAGGGTTGAGGTGGAGGGAGGGTGCGAGATGGCACTTGGTAATAGGGTGGTGGAGGGTGGGGGGTTTTGACCTTTGACTCTCTTAGGCTGACATTGTTGACTGATTTCTGAAATGTAATGAAAAGAAGGCTTCAAGGTGGGGTTTATTTATTAGCCTCTGTTTTGGTTTTTTGTTAGTTAAAAAATGTGAATGGTGACATGTTTCAATACTTTAAAGGCTTGGTTTGGGTTCCGTTCGGAGGATTAACAAAAGTACTGAGAAAGATGGAAAGATGGTTGGACTAAAGCAAGAGTTGTTGGAAATTATGGCGTGATTGGGAGTCGGTTGGACTAGGGAAATAGCCATTTGAAGTGAGTGGTCAGCCAATATGGAAGATTGGAAGAAAAAGGAGAAGTAGCCCTAACAATCATCAATGAGCACCACATAACATTATAGTACATGGTATTAGTTTGTGAGCTAAGTAATTTATACGTGACTTGTAAAACCATGTTTTAAACAATAAACTACATTAAAAAAAAAAGAAACAAAACCAATCTTTGGACTTGTACTTGATTTTTGAAGAAAAGTAAGAGTTTGACTCGATACTTGGGAGAAAAAAAAAGGATTATACTAAGCCAACGTACACAAAAAAAAAAGAAAAGAAAGAAAGAATTGTAGTATGCTGAAATCAAATTCTAAATTGAGCACATCGTGTAAATGGAAATCTTGGAAAAAAGAGAAAACAGGCGACTAAGCAAATGGGACACGTTGAAATTTTGAGGTAAGCCAGGGGCCCAGACAACTAACGTGGTTGGGGCGGCTGAGGCTTGTGATCCTTGAATTGGCATAAAATACCCCACAAGAAAGTTTCAAACTGAGACCACTTAGGATGACAAAAGGTTGTCCAAATCAACCACGAAGTTTGTGTTCCTATGATTTAAGCACTTATGTTACACGCTTTCTTTCTATCTAGAAGTGCCTCTTTAGTCTTCCTATTCTTGTATATGTTGTGTATTTTTATTAGCTAAAAACTAGACTAACTAGCTTAAGACTTTTGATCCGTTACCCTATATAAACAACAGTCAATTCTTGAAGAAGCCTAATTAGGATTTTTATTTTTCTGATAGGAAGACTAGGGATTTTAATAGTATTGATCGGCAACGCACAAGTGAAGATAGTTTTGTTTGGCCTTTTTCCCCGAACGTGCTCATTTTGCTTCATACCAGGATTTGTTTGGAATTGAGATAGCCACGATCACAATTCACAGTTTCATCAACTGCAAACTGAGTTGAGTTGAGTTGAGTATGGTAGTGATCCTATTCTGACAAACCCAAACATTATGGGAGTAAAAATAAAAAGAGACAAGGAACACAAGAGAGGGAAACGAATGAGAAGGTAAGAAAAAGAGGAAGGAAAAAAAAAAACGAACACCACTTGTTATAAACAACTAATACAAATAATTTCACAATTATATTATTTTATTTTTAAAAATTTATAAATGGTGCCTAAGTCAGACATGATAGGGAATAAAGGTGAAAAGAAATCAAAATTTTCATTCAAAAACAGATTGATTTGATCACAGTAAGCTCGATGGCTATGGGAAACATAGCTATAGGATGGAGCATGCTGTGGGGACAGAAGAAATTTAACACCAAACTTTGAAGATTTCAATGATGGATTATAGAAAATTTTGATTTCAAGGAAAATGATGTCTCTTTGAAAAATTCAGATTATAAACTTGAGATGATTCGAAAGAGATTTGGATATGAAAAGCATAGTTGATGATGAGATTGATGCACTAATTAATACCATTGAAATCTAAGTTTCTTAAGAAGAGATTTCGATGAGCAGGTTTACAATGGAGATGGAACTTGTATGGGAATGGAAGAAAGTCAACAGCTGAAGCTGTCAAGTGTCAAGTTAGTCAATACATGGAAGACAAACTAATGGGACCATATCAACAATGGAGAATTTTGAATTGCGTTAAGCAAAAGCAATTTCTCATTGAAAATCTCGATAACTACTGCCAAATGGATGAGTTTGGCTAATCTTATAACAGACCTAAGAGAAAAACAACTCATCTAGTAACTATTCATATAAGGATATTTACATTAATTATTGAATCAAATATTGTAAATACGAAATCTCAAATATAAGTAATATAGAAAATGTATCTTTTACTTAAATTGAAACATAGATAGAGATGTTTTGCCTTGCGATCATTAGATTCATTCTTTTGTCAATACGACCAGTGCAGAAATGAAAAATTCATCCCAATTTGCAAAAAGATTATAATCCTACTGATCCACGGAATTTTCATCATGGAGCAACTAAAAACAAATTCCAAATTGGAATGGGTCAATTTTTGAAACGGGAAGGGAGGTCCATTTTTTCTAACATGGCAGGCTTTACTATTGCTCTACACGGTCGCCATCATCCCCACTGAATGAATAAAGAATCAGAAAAAACTAAGCCCACCTAACGCTTGATTGTTTGGTTTAGTGACAGAAGAACGATAGCCTAATCGAAAATGTTCTTCAGCGCCACGCTTGAAGGTCCCCAAAGGCCAAAATTAGGCAGCAATAAATGAGAATGAAAACTGGTCAATGATACAGGAAACTGAGACCGTAGGACTTGAAATGGTTAAACATCCCCAATACTCGTGATTTTAAACAGGCCTAAGAAGAAAGGAGTTGTACCTTGTGGACAAGTGCTCGGATAAGATCCACCTGAGCAGTAACAAAGGAATTCCCTCGCGTCCTGGTTGTACCCACACTGCCCACCGGAGCCTATACATGAGTCGCATAAAGAATCATTCGCAAACCACTGCAGCTCAAAACCAACTTTAAGCGCCTCTATCAGACTCTCTGTAGTTCGACTGTCCTCCACTACCTCAACTTCTGATTTCAGGACTGGAACGGTGACGCTGTCGTTACAAGATCCCAAACTAGTGCTTAATAGATTGGCAAGGTCGCCAAAGGACGACTCTGTAATATTCCTTGTTAGATAATATCCTACGTTTCCAGTTCCATTTATCTCGCACTCAAATTGACTGGAGAGTCCTTTAGGCAGGGATGGAATATTTGTAAGAGGGCGACAACCATAATAAAGCGTCATGTTCTGCGTATTGGAATTGTACTCGAAAACGCCGGTACTCAAAGTGGTGTTCCGGAGATATTGGACACAAACGTCTTCTGAATAATCAGTTCTAGCAAGCCTAAGATTTCTTGTTCCGCTTTCTATATTAAGGACTTGGTAAGTTACTGACATGATTGTGATCTCTGGAACATTACCGCTGCAGTTCAGCCAGAAACCCGGATAACCACAATCTTCTGGTCGCCCCAAACCCCAGAAAGGATAACCGGTATCAATGTTTCCGCATCTGAACCGCGTGCTGCAGCTTGAATAATTTCCATCGTTGGCAAACGCAGATTTT